ATTTCTTTTCACCTGCTGAGCTAGTGGTGTGCGGCATCTCTCATCCCCTTATTTCCCTGCTTTCAGGATGAAGTATAAAACAGCCTGCACCCTTATATTACTGTGAGACACTAGAGCTACCAGAACACCTTAAGCGGAGATATACCTGATATAGGGAGAAATATAATACTGTCAGAGCATTGAACCAGTACCCAAAACTGAAAAAAAGTTTTCCTGGAGGTACACTTTCTGGTAGACCTATAATCCAGGGCAGCGTCAGACAAAATGTTTACATCTAAAACGCAATTAAAGTGGTTGTAAAGGGGAAAAAAAAAATAAAAACATGTCTATACTTACCTGCTCTGTCCAATAAAATTGAACAGAGCAGCCCTGATCCTCCTCTTCTTGGGTCCCCCACCCTCGCTCCTGCTGGTGCCCCCAATAGGAAGCAGATTGCCACGTGGGCACTCGTGCGGGCTTGCTCCCGAGTCTCACTGCTGCATCCATTGATGCAGATAGCAGGACTCAGCCCTGCTCCTGGTGTTGATTAACAGGGGCCAATGGCTCCACTGCTATTAACCTGCCCAGGGAGGAGGAACAATTCTAGGAGAGCCACAGCTCCTTGCAAATCTGCTTCCAATCCACATTTGCCATGCTCCTAATTTTTTGGTATAGATATTAATTTACCTTCTCAAAAAAGCACTTTATAGACAGTTTAAACCCGACCCTCATCAGGGTCTACAAAAGCATAAATCGGTCAATAATAAGCACCACCCATTCTGGTAATACTGCAGGGGAAACACCTCTACCTGCCTTGGATATTTGTTTTCGTGTTCCAGTCTCTTCTACTCCCTGGACATTTTAGGCTGTATACAATAAGATACAGGGACTGGAGTCCTCCCAGCTGATTGAAGAGATACTGGTCTGCCTCAATGGAAGAGGCCGCATGTCAGACCGCTGCAGTGAAATTGTTGCTCTCACAGAATGAGCAGCAGTCCTTAGCTGCAGGCTAGTGGTGGAAGCCAAATATAGAAATATTGATCCATTTTAAGTGCAAATACAGTAAAGCCGGCCAGAAACGGTTCAAATCTCAGCCGGTTCAGCAGGGACGGCCAAGATTCGAAACATACATGGGCAGGCTGATGGTATCGATTGATCAACTTTGGTTACAACCAGTCTATCGGATTTTTCATGCAATTATTGCCAGCTAGCAATAATCACCATGTGTTCTCCCGACTGGGACAGCTACATTACCCCTCCCCACGCGTGCCCCCCAAACCCGGGACCACAAAGTAACTCTGCAAGTGGGATTCTCTCCATCAATGCTGTGTTGAGGGAGGAATCAAGCGATTTTCTTTCCTGCAACCCGTGGAATGAAAATCGCGCCATCTATGGCCAGCTTAATGCACACCTATATTGATCAATTTGGCGGAGGTAGTCCTAATGCCTTAATATAGAAATAAACTACAGATAAATAAAGCAGCCAACTCATAAGAGAGGAGTGGGAGCTCCAATGACTAGAGAACAGAAAAAGTAGTGAAAAAAAAACATCCTTAGTGTAGTAAGCATAAAACACACTCGTTGGTAAACATTGTATTCACAAAAGCAATGCCAGAAACAAGCTATGTATGGTGGACCACCCTTCCAGTGGTAAGGCATGTGCCCTGGCCATTGGGAAACTACAAGTGTACTCAGTGCCCAGCCAAAAGAAAGTGGCACCAGCACAGGAGGAGGATACTAACAACATGTTCTCAGTTCCCTTTTCCCACACTAGTATTGTATTTTTTTCTTGCCTGTATGCAGAGAGCAGCTTGTGTTGAGCCTTGGTTCACACTGGATGCGACTTGGCCAAGTCGCACCCAATTATCCGCAATTGGAACGGTCATATCAGTGCGGTTCCAACTTGGCCGGAGCCACACCGATTTCAAAAGTAGTACATGCACTGCTTTTGGTGCGATTTGCATAGACATCTGTATCAGACATCGACGGGTCCCCAGACTTTGAAATCGTGCGACTTCACTGTAAGTCGCATGATTTCAAAGTTGGGCTTGATGTGAATGGAGGGTTACTGCTGGAGGGACTTGTGTCACAATATAGCCCACTATCAATAACTTGTATCTGAAGTTACTTTTATGAGTGCAACGTATTAGTGTTACCAATAAATGTGTTTCAAAGACAGATTCTAGCCCAAACTTTCCCATTTTGGGTAGGGAAGAGTTGTTAGGTTTTTATTCTCTCCGTCATCTCCCCAAGAAGGCCCATAATCACAACAAAAAACTGTCCCTATTGTACCAAAAAGTTCCCTTTCATATATTTCCTCTCACTCATTTGTCCAGGGATGGACACATTTTTAAAATGTCAAAGCTTTTAAAACTGAAATGTCAGTTTTTGGTTGGGGAGTTGACCCTCTGTATTTTCCTGGCTACCGAGGTTCTTTAAAGTGGTTGTAAACCCTTACATATGACAATGAAGTGACTGCCTTCAGGTAATACACATAGATTAAACAAATCATCCTAAATAAGTTGTACCTGTTTATCTGAAGTCTTCTCTCTACATCTGTTAAAACTGCAGCTTGTCTAAGAGTTCAGAAAAAAAGGGTCAGAGAGCTGAAATTACACACTGCATAGCTCAGTGAGCTGATTGCAGGGAAGGGACACATCCACTTCACACAGCACACAGGAACAGAGCTGAGGCTGTCAATGTGCTGGAGGTCCCTCCGCTGTCACCATTCTTCTCTTTGTGTCAGGAAAACTTGTCAGAGGTGATTCATACTGATAGAGGAACAAAGCAGCAGTAATAAATGACACTTAGTGCTCTGGATTGAGACAAGTGCCCATTACAGAGGGAAATGCTTTGTTCATATTTCATATCTGAGGTTTACACAACTGCATTTACACCTCAAAGTTGATAGCAGTTGGTCAGATTCAACTGGACTTGCTCTATAATGTTAAAGACATTTTGATAGGTTCTTCGATAATGTCTTTAGTTCTAATGGGTATCAGGAAGATACACCATTGTTTATATCAACACAAGTAGTACAGCTACCTCAATCCAATCACCATGACAGGTGTCAAAGCAGATGTTGATTGTCTAAGAACAGGATGGGAGGTGTCAAAAGTTTGTAAAACCACCACATTCTAATATCATAATCCAAGTACCATGGTGCCACAAACTTACAAGACAAGGTGTGAATGGTGAAGCTGCCAGAGATGTTAAATGGCCTTATATATGGAACATGGATGGTGTCAAAGGTCTCCAAGGGATGGTTGTTCCAGTTTGGCTTAGTTGGCTTCTTTCATGCCTTGTGTGAACCGTTTGTCCTGCCAGTCCCAAAATGTGCACTCCACAGTTCTAGAAACAACGGGGCTGATTTACTATAACTGGAGAGTGCAAAATCTGGTGCAGCTGTGCATGTCAGCCAATCAGCCTCTAACTTCATGTTGTTCAATTAAGCATTGACTATAAAACCTGAAAGCTGATTGGTTTCTATGCAGAGCTGAACCAGATTTTACTCTCTCCAGCTTTAGTAAATAAACCTCATATCTCTTTTCCTTAAAGTGTATATCCATCAAAAATAAAAATGTATATACTAAATAATAACAACCTTTCTTCTAAGCTTTATATTTCATAATTTTTGCATTTCCCTAGTAATCATTCATTGGGGTTGATTCACTAAGACTGGAAAGTGCAAAATCTGGTGCAGTTCTGCATAGAAACCAATCAGCTTCCAAGTTTTTTGTTTCAAAGCTGAAGTTAAAAGCCGACTAGCTCCCATGCATAGTGGCACCAGATTCTGCACTCTCCAGCTTTAGTAAATCAACCTCATATCTCTTTTCCTTAAAGTGTATATCCATCAAAAATAAAAATGTATATACTAAATAATAAATAACAACCTTTCATATAAGCTTTATATTTCATAATTTTTGCATTTCCCTAGTAATGATTCATTGGGGTTGATTCACTAAGACTGGAAAGTGCAAAATCTGGTGCAGTTCTGCATAGAAACCAATCAGCTTCCAAGTTTTTGTTTCAAAGCTGAAGTTAGAAGCCGACTAGCTCCCATCCATAGTGGCACCCTCCAGCTTTAGTAAATCTCCCCCAATATCTTGTCAGTTTCCTGTTTATGCATCTAATGCTGGGTTGACAACATTCCATTGCTTTAATCAAATGGTATAGTGTCTCAGCCTTGTCAACACCTGAAAGCTCCTTCAGCAAATTATTCATTTTTTATGTCTGTAGCTTCCTCTGTTTCTGGTGGAAGCTTTGGCCCCTATTGCATCTTCCTACCTCATTTTGACACTGCTAGGCATTTTATCAAGAGAGCTGTAGCTGCCCATCATGTGAGGCACATTACCTGAAAGGTTTGTGGTCACCCGACCACAACCAATCATCATTTAAAAAAAAAAAAAAAAAAAGGGTACTGCTATAGTGGTTTTGTAAGAAATTTACAGAGAATGAATGTAAGCAATCACTTAAATGCCATGGGAACACTAATTGTGTATTGGCCTTTCCATGTACAGTACTTTAAGGTGAAGAAAGACCTGTGCACCTCACCACTACTGGATTAGTAAGTGAACAAATCCAGCTGAAGTTAACCAACTACTACTAGCTCAAACATCACCTGGTTAACCTTTACAGCCATATTTAAACCCACATTGGCTTTCATTTGGCAAATACACTTCTCTGTTACTCAAAAGCAAGAGACAACAAAAAAACAAAAGCAATAAAGAACATAACAAAATGACCCAATGCTTGTGCTTCAACCACATTAAATAAAATGAAGGGAGGCATACCCCCCATGTGCATAACCCACACACTTGGCGAGTGTTGATGGAGGGAAGTCCAGATCGTGTCTGCATGCCATAAAAAGTGTATGAAAACCAGCCAGAGTGTATAGTTCACAAGGTGAGGGTGCCCCCTGGGGTACAATCATCTAGTGGGGATGATCCTCAAGGGGAGGAGCCTCGAGGTGACTGTTCTTTGACATCAATGCCTCTAGGGGCAGAAGGAGGAACTTGACTCTACTTTATGTTCTTTAGAAGAGCCGTACGAGCATTCACGAGGGCCTTAAAGGCATCTTCGCTTCCTGGCGCCACACACTTGTCCGGATGAAGGAGCACAGCCAGCTTGCGATACGCTTTGTTTACTTCATCCCTGCAAAAAAAAAAAAAAAAAAAAAATTATATATCATTGCCTTCAAAAAAAAAAAAAAAAAAAAAAAAAAGGTCACTTTACAGGATACTATGTAGCAAGGAATATGATGTTGCCAATGACCTGCATGTTTCTTTAATGGGATGCAATTAAATGTGATATTTTCAGGTACTGGTGGAGTCAATGCCTTGTCTTCTTATATTTTTTGAGAAGTGATGAGCTTTACCCGCCACAGTTTCTGACTCTTTTCCTGCCCACCGTGAACTTTTGAGAATTTCCACCCACTCGTTTTAAAATTCTCCAAAATACAGATTTACAATATGGCTGAAACCTGACCATTTCATCTACTACATGACCAAAAAGTATGTAAACTGCCCTCCCAACTGATTGAGTTCAGCTGTTTCCAGTGAAGGGTACTGTTAATCATACAAATACATTGTAGAACAGCCTTTGACAGTGTTTTCAACACAGAGGAACCCTTGAAACAACTTTCTGGTTTCAGGGGACCCCTGTTAAAATTACCATATCTACCACTCATGATACATTCGTGTCATGGTCAGTGGGAAGAATGTTCCTTACACTTGTCATTGGGAAGAACTACCTCCTTACAGATAGTTAAAAAGATCATTGATGTCAATAAGGAACCTGAGAGGCAGAAATTGTGCATTGCTCAAGGAACCCCTAGCAACCTCTGGAGGAAGATTAGGGTTCCATGGAACCCTAGTTGAGAAACCCTACTGTAGAAAAATGTGCTCTTCTAACTTGAGGTAACAGTTTGGTGAAGACCTTTTTCTGTTCCAGCATGACTGTGCCTCTGTGTAAAAATACTTGACTTTGACCAGTATGGTGTGGAGGAACCTGAGTGTCCTGCACACATCCCTGACCTCAATCTTACTATATCACTTGGAATGCTGATTGTGAGCCAGGTCTTCTAATCCAACATCAGTACCTGACCTCAACCCTACTGAACACCTTTGGGATGGATTGGAACACTAATTATGAGCCAGAACTCGTCATCAAACATCAGTACCTGATTTTAATCCTCTTGAACAACATTTTGGATGAATTTGAACGCCGATTATGCGCCAGGTCTTCTCATCCAACATCAGTGCCTCACCTCAACCCTACTGAACACCTTTGGGATGAGTTGGAATGCCAATAGTAAGCCAGGTCTACTCATCCATCATGAGTATCTGGCTGCTGAAAGGTCTTTTGAATGAACAGATTTATCGGTTATAAAAATATAGCAACAACATTTTAGACCTCTAACCCAGCTCCTTCATCAGGTATCTGTGACAACAAATTTAAAACTAGTTCTCCTTAACCCCTTCACGCCTAAGGGTAAAAAAAATCTAAATGCCTAAGCACAATTTTGCAACGTTGACATGTGTTAGTAGAACCGTACATATCATCACAACTACTTTGTACATCCAGTGAATTATACCTTGTTTTTTTTTAGGACAAATTGGGCTTTCATTTGGTGGTAAATGGTAATGGATATCTTCTGATTTTTGTTTTATTATCAAAGGAAAACTGGCCCAAAATAGTAAAAAAAAAAAAATCTTTTTTTATTTAGCTGTGTGTTTCTTGTTACTACCATAACCTACCACCAAAGGACAACCCAAATTAAATTCTCCAGCTCTTGACGATCGCAGCGATACAATATATGTGTATGATATTTGTTGTTTGTATCCATAGTACAACCCAGAAACAATTTTGTTTTTGCCTTTTTACCTAAAACACACCGACATTGACACTAACTGACACTGATACCAATTTTTTTTTAATCCTGACCTTTTGACCTTGACCCAAACAATAAACCCTGGCACTGAACTAGATCAAACCTTGATCTAGGTGTTTTTTCATTATTTTTTTAATATTTATCTTTTTTTTACATTTTTTTTTCTATCTATGCCAGGAGTTAGAGAGAGACAATGTATCTCTCTTCTCCATTCAAAGAGAGAGAAAAAAAAACAAGGGGGCAGGACTGCACAGTGACTGATCACTGTGATAGCCAATCAGAGGCTATCACAGCCATCATGTGACCCAGAATCGAGAGTCCCTGGTCCCGATCGTTAGAAACGGGACCTGGGGCTCTCAGTGACACCGCTGTCTTTGTGCTGAGAGTGCGCAGTGTGGCGCGCTCCCAGCACAAAGACAGGTACGCAAATATGTGGCCCCACGGAAAAAAGTCCAGTTCCATGAGGTTGCATATTTGTGTGACGTTGGCATCTAGGGGTTAAAGTGCTACTAAACTTAGGACCCTGCATCCACTATATCTGTTCTCTTCTCATCAGCAGTTACAGTCTTGTGACTTCAGTAGAGCACTGGTTAAAGCTTGTAGGAGTTTTCTTTCTGCTCTTGGAGGATATGAAACCCCTGACCCTCTGTCTGGACAGTGCTGATTGGCCCTGTGCTGATGAAATGCACCCTCCCAAGAGGAAAAAAAAAACCTCTCTAGCAATACACACCAAACTGAGCATGTGACCAGGGGTTCAGTCTGTATCAGGTGGTCATTTCAACAAGAGGAGGGGCAGAGAAGAAAGAGGACCAAACAGCCTTTTTAAACAATGCAGAGGATTAACCCCTTAGGTTCCACAGTGTGTATAACAAGCATGCTTTACTGCATATACTGACTGATTTTACTGTTGTGGGCTTAGCAACACTAAGTATTCCAATCAGTCAATAGTCATTGTTGCCTGATGAATGTTCTGATGTAGAGCTCTGTTACTGCTGTATTTCTGTGACAGATAAATACACATATAAAAGGAATGGAAGATGTGCTGGTGATACGTTTTGATTTATTGTTTAGTCATGGCACATACATGATATTTCACTGGGGCACCCAGGAAGAATGTTAAGGATTGCACTTCTCTATATTTGTTATGGGGTCTTTTTTAGCTGAATGGGCACACGTTCCCAGAGATACTCTCTATGGAGGTTATTACAGTCTGAAAGGGGGCCAACACCATACTTAAGTCCATGGTTTTGGACTGTGATGTCCAACAAATTCATACAGGTGTGATTATCAGGTTTCAACAGACTTTTGGCCATATAATGAAAATAAAACTTGTTAACTGGAACTGAAACAGATATACCAACACTGTCGATCTATGAAGCATTTTCAGATGTAGAGATGAGCAATAATGGTCTCTGCACGTCCTTACAAAGAAAATGAACCAGTAACCTGTCTGTGCTGTGAAAAGTAACATGGTTACTTGGTAGGCAAGCCCTTTCACTGCTGATGCTTATCTTTCCATTCGCTCCCACTGCTGCCCTGGTGGAGTCTCATGGGCCATATGACTCTTTCCTCATTTCAGTGACCACTCACCATGTCCAATCAATATCACATGTGCTTGAGGGGAGGGTGCTTAGACCAATGTAAGCCTGGATCTACACTAACCCGGAGCTCACACTTCTTCTGTAAGGATCAGCAGTGGAGGATGTTACAGCATAAGTAAACCCCAAAACAAAAAAAGTAATATCTTGATGCTTACCAGTCCTTAGATAAGGTGACTGCTTTTTTTTTTTTAACTTATTAACCCTTGGTGATCCTGCCAGTAACACAATTTCTGTCCTAGGGTGATGATACTCAGTCACTTCACTGTATCAGGACTACAGAAACCTCCCTTTTTCCTTTTCTTCCTAGCAGAGGGGAGGTGTTCTGTAGTCCTCAAAAAGAACTCATAACAATGTACCAGATGCAACACAAGTACAGAACACAGGAAGTTATCAAATGAGATTTCTGGCAGGATCATCAGATAGATAGATATATATATATATATATATATATATATATGCCCCTTTTGAACAGATATAACAAAACACTTTCAATGGTATATGCAACAGATAAGAAAGTCTCTATGTTAAAGCAGAACTCCACTCTCACGATGAACATTGGCTATTTGTAATCCTTGTGCTGATAGTATTAGTTAATATATATGCAAAATGTATTTTATTTTTTACTTGTCTTTTCACATCTCTTCAGCTATTTCCTGGTTTCCAGGCCTAGGCAAATTATTTCATACATCCCAGGAGGGGAGGAGGAGTTTGCACAGCTAAGCACACCCCCCTTTCTGCATACCTGAGCTAAAAGCAGATGGCTTCCAGGAAATCAATTCTACATTACAAGAATCATCTGCCCTTACTCAAGATGGCCACAACCAGAAATGCTAGGGGGGGTGTTTTTCAAATTGATTTCTCAGCAAAATAAAACCTGGAGACATGGATGGATGGGGGAGTTTGCTTTGAATATTAAAAATGAATTAAACAGCGGTTTTGGTTTGTGGTGCTCAGATACAGTGTAGCTCCTCTTTAAAGGTTTACATACACTTTAAAGCTGATCTACACTGCATCTAAGCACCACAAACCAAAAATGCTATTTAATTCATGATAAGTATTTGAAAAAAAAATGTAAAAAAAAAAAAAAAAAAAAAAAAGTTTAAAATAAGTAAATATGATATACTTTTTTTAATCTATTGACTAATGGTAGCTGCATAAGGATTAAAAATAGTCAATGTTGATTGAGAGAGTGAAGTTCCGCTTTATGTGCCTGGCTACTTTTAGGTGAATGGGCTTAAAAACAGATTTAATGCACTCCGGTCCCAATCTGTAAAACAGTACAGGAGATGGACACAGGAGGTATGGCCTGGATATGTTACCTCGTGGCACCCGGCTTCACCCCCAGCATGTCCCAGCTGTCTTTGCTGTTTCGGATGCGGCGTATAGAATCCGCCTGCTCTTTAGTAAATCCAATGTTAATGGATGACATGGGCCTCTTTCCTCCATTGTCACATAAATCCACGATGGCAGAGTAGAAGGCCTTGAAGAGGAGGGAGACAAGGTCTTATTAGTTTATATCGGCTTCTTGTGTAAAGTAAAGGTTCATTCACACCACATGCAGGTGGGTGCATTTTTTAGGCATGTATGGTAAAAATGTATTCTAACAAGCCTAGTTCACCATTGGTTTGCAGTGTGCTTTAAATAAAAAAAAAAAAAAGAAGAACAGCATGTTTCTTTTGCAACATAATGAGCATAAAAAGAGGAAAGAAAGACAATAAAAAAACTTGTAAAAAATGCATTGCAACGCATGAAAAAAACCCAACACAACGTATTTTAAAAACACATCAATACATGTACATATGCTTGCATTAAAGCAAGGGAAATACAGGGGTTATGGTGTGAATGGGCCCTTAACCTCTTCCAAGCCACCTCCCAGCGGGCCTTTAAATGTTCTTTAAAGTAGAACTCATGTCTCCATTTACGAAAAAAACCTGCAAGCAGGCAGGCTATTTATTGCAAAAGAAACATGCAGTGTCTCTTCTACAATAAAATAAACCTACCGGCCTGCTTATAGTCTTCATTAGAAGGAAGACTGTGCAGCTCACTTTATATTGCAGTACAGATCATGTGTGTCAGGATGACGAATAACATCATCTTATGCAGGCCAATGAAGACGGTTGAAGCCCAGCAATGAGAAAAAGCCAGGGAGAAGATAACGGTGTCAGCGAGGGAGCTCACACCATTGAAGGAGAGGTATCTGTAAGTTTAGTTCGGCTTCAATGCTCTGGAGGCAGCGCGGCGTCACATGTTACTGCTGTGATTGGCTCATCCGTCTCACTGGCTCCCAATCCAAAACCGTGACCAAGAGCTTTTGATGACAGCTCAGTCTTTGGGCATACAGCCTCAGGCTTCTGTGGATGTGTGTGGTGGCTGGGAGTGATTGGCAAGAGGTTCTCTAGGGCAGCATCTACCTTCAACCCTATGATCACCAGAATTTTTTGTTTTCCATTTTTTGCAGTTTTTAGGCCTGAAGATTTTTTTACCCTCCCCTACATTTTATATTTTTCTGAAAGAACAGGCCTTGGAGAATAAATTGGCAGCAGATATAATTTTTTTAATTTCACATAACTGCAGTACAGCTTATCAAATCTATATTTTCTGTAAAAAAATACATTCAAATTAATTTTAGTGCACACAAACACAATGTAATACCCCTATATCTCAAGGTTAAATATAAAAAGACAAGATTGTCTCAAATAAATAGAAACCAAACATGTCAAGACTTAAAATTGGGCAAAATTTAAAAAAAAAAAAAAAAAAAAAACTGTGGTACCTAAAAGCCTTTACAACTCAGGAGTCCTGTTTTTAATTTTTATCACAATGGTAAAGGGTTCTAGACAAACTGTTCCGCATATATCCGGCTATGATCAGGTGAATGAGGAACAGCTATGTTGTACGTTGGTTCTTGTTCCCGTTACTAGTCTTTCCTGGGAGACGGGAAGACTATTCTACCCTCCCTGCTTCCCTCATTTGTGAATCTTCCTCTTCCCCTTTCCTTGGTTCCCTGTCCCCTTTCCATTGTTCCCTCTCCCCCTTTACAGCGATTTATTGCTCTCAGCAGTCTGGCGTGCACAGTGATACCTAATCTGTGGCACAATCATTGTTTTTGTACACGTGCATCCAGAGCGCATGCGTTTATATGAGGGTGGGGGGCTGATAAGACCCTTATGTGATCGAATAGTGCAGGTGACAGGTTCTCTTTAGGAAGACATCATTGTTCGACGAGACACCCTAATGTTACCTCTGCACTCTGTAAGGCCTGATTCACACCTATGGGACACGTTCAAGTCTGTGTGTTTTCAGCCGCAGTATTTTTGGAAAGGGTCAGGGACTTTTTTTTCCTGCAGCAGATGGCGTTTTTGATAGTGTTTTTTGATAGACTTCAATGGAACTGCACCAAAAATGAAAGTGTTCAGTTTTTGATGTATATTGCGTTTTTGGGCAATAGAAAACTGATTGAGTGTGAGATTCAAAGTAGTGCAGGAACAATTTCAAAGTTGCTGCAAATCTGAAAAGTTTCCTGCACTACTTTGAGTGCCAGCAAGTGTAAAGTTGCATAAAAAAAATCAAAAAATTACTTTGCACTACTTTGCGACTGAATGGGCAAAACTCAATACCTTCCTACTGGCAAAAAAAACGACATCAATCGCAACACGCACAGGTGTGAACAAGGCCTAAAGCTGACTGAGTTAAGACTGCTCTTGATTAGCTTCTTCTCCAGTCATGGTGCCTGGGTTTGACAACTGAACCTAGAAGCACTCAGAGCTGAGCACCTACAGGATCACACCTCACAGTGGAGAGGAGAGATGTGGGAAGCGGCTGTAATCACTTTTACTACATAGCCACAAACCAGTATACTGGTGCTGCCGCTGACATAGTGCTGGCAGCAGAGAAAAAGTTTAACTGCTTCCCGACCGCCCTCTAGCAGAACTACTGCTACAGAGTGGCAGGGATGCACAAAATCAATATATGTAGTCACCGGAGGCTACATCTGTTGATCACCGGATCCCGGCTGGAGATTCCCCGCCAGCACCCGGCGATCGCCGAGGAATACTGACAGGGGAGAGGTCTGTATGTAAACAATACAGATCCCTCCCCTCTCAGCACCAGCATGCTGCGTTGTATTGCTTTGCATAGCAGAGAAATAGCAGAGCAATACAAAGCCGAGTGCTTACACAGTAAAGCACACACAGACAAAATAGTAAAAAAAAAAAAAAAAAAAAAAAAAAAAAAAAAAAAAAACACAGTTAACCCTTTGATCGCCCCAGATGTTAACCCCTTCCTGCCCAGTGCCACTAGTACAGTGTCAGTGCTTTTTATTAGCACTGATCACTGTATTGGTGTCACTGGGGATGTCAGTGAAAGTTAGTCAGTTCTCCCCCAGTGTCAGAATGCCCGCCGCGATTTTGCTACAAGTCGCTGATCGCCGCCATTACTAGTATAAAAGAAAATCTAAGTATATATACCACCATTTGTAGATGCTATAACTTTCACGTAAACCAATTAATTTACACGTATTGGGATTTTTTTTTTTTTAGCAAAGACATGTCACAGAATATATTTTGGCCTAAATTTATGACGAAATTTGATTTTTAATTTTTTTTTACTGGAGATGTTTTATAGCAAAAAGTCAAAAATATATAGTTTTTTTCAAAATTGTCGGTCTTTTCTTGTTTATAGCACAAAAAATTAAAAAACAAAGAGATGATCAAATACCACTGAAAGAAAGCTCTATTTATGGGGAAAAAAGAACATAAATTTAATTTGGGTGCAGCGTTGCATGACAGTTGTCAGTTAATGTAACACAGTGCCGTATCACACAAAATGGCCTGGTCAGAAGGGGGGTACATCCTCTGGAAGGCAAGTAGTTAAAGTGTTCCTATACTGCACTAAACACTGGGATTGTGTTTTCTTTCATTCCTTTGAATAAAATCACGTATTTTTACAACAAGCAAGTACCTGAATCTTTCTTTATATCAGCTTCTGTTATCTTTTCTACAGCAGCAGGAGGAGGATGAGCACTGCCAGAGCCCTACAAAATGACCTCCAGCAGGCCACTGGTGTGAATGTCTCTGACCAAACAATACAAAGACTTCATGAGGGTGGCCTGAGGGCCCAACTTCCTCTAGTGGGCCCTGTGCTCACTGCCCGGCACCATAGAGCTCCATTGGCATTTGCCATTGAACACCAGAATTGGAAGGTCTGCCACTGGCACCCTGTGCTTTTCACAGATGAGAGCAGGTTCACCCTGCGTACATGTGACAGACATGAAAGGGTGTGGAGAAGTCGTGGAGAACGTTATACTGCCTGTAACATTGTTCAGCATGACCGTTTTGGTGGTGGGTCAGTGATGGTCTGGGGAGGCATATCCATTGAGGGACGCACAGATCCTCTACAGGCTAGTCAATGGAACCCTGACTGCCATTAGGTATCGGGATCAATTCCTTGGACCCAATGTCAGACCCTACACTGGTGCAGTGGGTCCTGGGTTCCTCCTGGTGCACGACAATACCCCGGCCTCATGTGGCGGAGAGTATGCTGGCAGTTCCCAGAGGATGAAGGAATTGATATCATTGAATGGCCCTCGCTCGCCTGACCTAAATCCAATAGAACACCCTCTGGGATATCATGGTTCCGCCCATCCAACTCCGCCAGGTTGCACCTCAGACTGTCCAGGAGCTCAGTGATGTCCTGGTCCAGATCTGGGAGGAAATCCCCCAGGACACCATCCGTGGTCTCATTAGGAGCCTCCCCCACGTGTTGTCAGACATGCATACAAGCACATGGGGGCCATACAAACCACTGAGGACCATTCAGAGTTGCTGTAATGAAAATTAAGCAAAATGGACTCGCCTGCTGCATCATTTTTTCACTTTGATTTTTGGGGTGTCTTTGAATTCAGTCTTCTGTAGGTCGATCATTTTCATTTCCATCAAACGATGGGGCATCCTTATGTTCCTAACACATTACCCCATCCATATCAATATAGATATCCAGCAGGAGATTTTCTCCCCATTGAGATCTGGTTTGTTTTCAAAGTATTCCTTTACGTTATTTGAGCAGTGTACCATACCTGGCCGATGCCCCTGGAAGCTGAAAATCACTGAAGAAGACACCACTACTCCAATGATCTCCTTTAGCTTCCAGATTCCCAGTCAAACAATTGTCCTGTTGCATGCTGAACACACAGGAGGTTGCACCCTCAGCACAGGCACCATTCAAAGAACACTTTGCATTTTCTCAGTGGATGCAAAGCCTTCTCTGATTAGACAAGGTGGAGATGAGGGTCTGTGACATCACACTCTCCACCTTGTCCAATCAGAGAAGGCTTTGCATACATAGTGAAAATGAAAAATGTTTTCTGAATGGCGCATGTACCCAGCAGTCAACCTCCTGTGTTCACAATCCAGCAGGGCAGCTGCTTGACATGGGATCTGGATGACAGTGGAGATCATTGGAGTAGCGGTGCCTACTACTACACCAATTTCTAGCTTCTAGAGGGATCCCAAAGGTATAGAATAAACATAGTTAGATTGGTCCAAGCTTGTACAATGGAACTATATATAAAATGCCATACCAGGAATTCAACTTTAAAGTTGTTCCTAAAGCCCTAAGGTTTTTTGTTACCTTAATGCATTCGCTGCAATAAGGTAAAAGACCTCTATGACCAAGATGCCCCCCAGCCCCCCAAATATTTACCTGAACCTAATCTCAATCCAGCACTATGCTGAAGAACAGCAGCTCTCTCCCTTCTCAAAGGGCAGATTGATAATGGCTCCTACTGCTGTCATTCAAATTCTGTGATGGGAATCTGGGGGCAGGGCCAAGGCGTGCTGACTGTGTCTATAGATGCAGGCAGCATGGCTCAGGATCGAGCCCATACAATGCCTCCATAAGAAGCAGCTTTATATAGGAGCATTTGCTAAAGAGAAGGAACCACAAGCTCAGGTGGGTGACCCCAGCAGTGGAGGATTGGGGCAGCTCTGTGCAAAACTATTTTGCAGGTGAGTATAATATGTTTATTATTTAAAAAAAAAAAGAAAAAATGTAAGGTTTTTACAATCACTTTAAATATTAAAGCTAAACATTGATAGGTAGATTTAAACAGGTATTCATTAATAGATCATTAAATGTATTTGTTCAGACAGAGGCTTAATTAGAACCTTCAGGGTCCCAGTGCAAGAAACCATGAAGGCGTCCCCGACCCCCCCTTCCCTTTCCTCTGGTCCTGGGGCCTTCCCTCCAGGTCCTGGGCTCTTCCCACTGATCTCAGTAGCATGCAGCATGAATTATACTCCCTTCCGAACTGGTGAATGGTGCTGCTCTGCAAGCACCCCACAACTGTGTGCAATGAACATGGCTGCGGCATGCTAGGGCAGGGTTAAGGGGATAAAGCAGACAGTGCATAGGCAATACAATGCCTCCTTACTGCCAGTCAAATCATCTCTGAAGAGCAATCTGAATTGCTGTTCAGAGATTAAGGTATGTGTGAACAATCCCTTAATTATTTTTTTTTAAAATTTTTTTTACATTTATTTAAACATTTTTTAGAATTTTATGTACTTATTTTTTTACATTTTAACAGCCCTGTTGGGGGTCTTTGGTGAAATAACAGGGCTCTAATCAGACCCCTGAGATCTTAAATTTTGAGACACACCATGTGGCAACCACATGGTTTGGTGCATGTGAAAATGCACGTTAGTGTATGTGTTAGGGGTGTCATTAACAACTATTAGCACTGCTGCGTGTCTACTAAAGGACAGTGTGTTTCTCTGTGTCAGGAAAGCCACATTTTTGAGCACATTCCTGACATGCAAAGGTGTGAACGGGCGGTGGGGGGGGTGTGGTTGTTTTTGGGTTGAACTAGCCTTATAGTGGGCTCATATCAGTGTGCTGTGATTTGGGTGTAGTTTGACTGTATGTGTGCTTTACAAGTGGTTCTAGATGCGCTCCCACTGAATTCTATTAGGTAGTGCTTTTTCTGAAAGCACATCAAATATGCAGAAAAGCTTGCATAAAAACGCATGTTGTGAAATAATTAATTAGGAGCATACCGTAAACTGCGTGTAAACCGCACATACACTCACACTGCAGCCTAACTGCAGTGCACTGGTGTGAGTCCATTATTAGGCCCCTTTCACACGAGTGGACCGATTAGATCCGCTTGTTTTTTAGGTGGACCGTCCATTCTACTCTATGGAGCAGAGGGTGTAAACAGGCATGTGTCTGTTTACATGCACCTACATCCAATCCGATCCGTTAACAACAGACGGATGGGTATCCGTTCCCCTTCCGTATATCGGATCGGATGGCAGTCGGGTGTAAACGGACAGGCGGTCAAGTTACATCCGATCACCCCTAGAGGAAAGCGGGCAGTGTCTGTGTCTGGTCTGCATAAGCGGAGCGGACACTGACCAGCCATCCACCTGCTCAGTGGGGATCAGCGGACAAATTCCCCCCTGAGCAAGCAGACTCCTGGCAGAGTCTGTCCCGTGAGAAAGGGGCCTTAGGGATAAAAAAAAAAAGAGTGAACAGGTGGAGGTCTGGGTAGTAAGTGTATGTGTTCATGAAGAGCAGAGTGAAGGAGTGCAGAGAAAGTGCTAAGGATGCATTATAGGGACACAACAGTTAGTAGAACAGTAACTTGGGATGGAACGGGTGTCAGACAAATGGGTGTGTGGAATTATCAAAACCTGAAGTTCAGGGACTGTGTAGTGCAGATTTATGGGGGGAAAGCAGATAGGAGAATGAGAAGTGAACAGGAAAAAAGGTCAGGAGGATCGGTACTGACTTACTGCATTATTGTGCAGGGAAGGGAGAGAGGTGCAGACTGCTGAAGGTGAGGTGAGATGCGTCAATCAGGGGTGCTGTATGAAATGTGAACAAACTAGAAAGAGGGAGCAGAGAAGCCAGAGGAATAACCTCATCAATGCTGATGCTGTTTGGTCATTGGCCAATTACAGGCTGAGGGAGGGACAAGACTGGTACTTGTTACCTAACTGTAGCAGAGAAAAATTGGGTCTCCAGCTTTGCCACACAGGGCTGTGCTATGTGGCAGAGCTGTAAAATCTCAGGAGTGGACAGATACAGTACCCAGTAAAACAACTCCCATATATATATTTTGTGAAAAAAAAGATGTGTCCACGAAAAGACACGTCTGTAGACAGTTTACAATGTTATCAAAGTGGTTGTAATGCCCTAAGATACTCTTTAATGTGATGACTGAAGATACTCTGTACTCATTTGCTGTCATGTGTAAATATAAAAACTAAACAAAACAAAATAAGTCTGTAAACCTACAACAGAAAAAAACTAGTAAAACATCACTTTTATTGTTTTTTAAAGTATCTGTCCTATATTTTTTAATAAAATGTATTATTTGATAAATTATCTGTTAATCCTGGCAGCTACTATAACTTCCTAGCTCTGGCAACAATCATGCAGACTCATTCAGCTTCTGCAGCGCTGCCACCACAGTGTGCATGTTCCCAGTCTTCTCACAAGTAGGCTGAGTCTACATACAGCTTAAGATGGCCAAATATGGGTCAGTTTTTTTTTCGTTCAACCAGCAACCTGAAGTGGATGGGGGAGTCCTCCCTGCTGTCTTTGTATTCTGATAGCAGGGAGTCTTCCCCTCCATCAGAATACACAGATCAGCACTGCAGCCTGTTGCACTGACTGAGTGAAAATATACTGACAGGGTGGCTGAACAGAAGTCAATTAGTAGATCAACTTCTGTTCAACCACAATAGCCACACATGGATTGAAATTCGTCCGGTCTCTGCTGAATTTCGATCCAAGTTTTAAGGCTGCAAAATGGCCCAAATTTCAATCAATTTGACACCATTTGGCTCTACAAACTTTGATGGTTCAGTCAACATTTGTGGAAGGAGACAAATAGTACATTTTCCAGTTTCTCCAATCCGATGCAGCCACTGTCCAAGTAGTCTGATGACTGCGGGAGATGGCTGTGGGAGATGGCTGTCAGAAAGCCGGAGCCAGTAGAGGAATTTCTAAACAGAATGAATGGAGGAGTCTTGTTAGATTTCTTTTGTTCAGCCTTCAGGCTAAACAAGAGAAATCTGTGTATAGATAGCTTTAGGCAGACCGTAGATTACGTGATTTTCTTTCCTACAACCACAGTCTGTGTTGATGAGGGAATCCCTCCCAGCTTAGCACAACTATTACCACTAGTGGCTATAGCTGCTGACAATAACTGCATGCTAAAAATCCAACATGCTGTTCGTATCCAAGTCATTCGATGGATCGAATTGGGTACAATCAGTCTACCCATAGATGGATTGAATCTTGGCCAGTCCCTGCCAAACCTTTAAGCCCCATATGCTTTAGTAAGGGGCTTCATTCTCCTCGCTACCCATGACACAGGCAGCAGCCACTACGCAAGGACAGCGGATCCTCTGGGGAGCTTTGCTGTCATAATTTAGAATGGCAGACCAGCAATGTCACTGGTAAGCAGCTGTGCGGAGGAGGTATATAACCCGATGTCACCAGCACACAGCTCTGGGGCTCAGACCCACTGATGAAAAAGCAAAGCCGGAGAACCCACTTCAATGTGAAGATTCCGTTCCAAAGGTAGACAGTACCTGGAACATCTCATTAATCCCCTCTCCGCTCTGTGCTGAGGTCTCAAAGTACAGGAAGCCGCGGCTCTCCGCCCAAAGCCGACCCTCACTCTCGTCCACGCAGCGGTGCTTTGCGCAGTCAATCTGAAAGAAGCAGACAAATTACATACAATAAGAGCAAGGTATCTAATGTAGACATCAAATTTCCTCGTATCCAACTTACAGCCATTCAGATTGTTCTTTATAGATTGCATATGCTTTCTAGCTACGTGCCACGTCAGCTATCCTACCTGTACACCCTTTATGGACCAGAGTAATTTTTACATTCCACTCTGGGCCTGTGAATTTAGCGATAACTTTGCCATTAGGATGACAAAGTAATACATACATTATTTTTTGAGTGAGAAAAAAAAACAACTTTAATTTGACATTGTTTTGCAAAAATTATTTTACTTCATATCTTCTAAAATCTATAAACAAAAAAGAAAAAATGCATTTTTATTGTTTTTGTTTAATAAAAAGTTGTTTCACTGTAATTAAAATGTATATATTATATACACCGATCAGCCATAACATTAGGACCACTGACAGGTAAAGTGAATAACATTCATTATCTCGTTACAATGGCATTGAGTGTGTGGGAAATATTAGGCAGCAAGCAAACATGTTGTCCCCGAAGTTAATGTATTGAAAGCAAAAAAAATGGTCATTGCAGTTTGTTGTGTATGGGGCTGTGTAGCCGCAGGCAGGTCAGGGTGCCCACATTGACGCGTTTCCACAGTTAAGCACCTACAATGGGCAGGTGAGCATTATAACTGGACCACAGAGCAATGGAAGGTGACCCGGTCTGATAAATCATGCTTTCTTTAACATCGTGTGGATGGCTGATTTGTGTGCGTCACTTACCTGGGAAAGAGATGGCACCAGGATTCAATATGGGAAAAAGGCAAGCCTGTGGAGGAAGTCATGCTTTGGGCAATGTTTTGCTGGGAAATCTTGGGTCCTACCATTCACGTGGATGTTATCTGGCATGTACCACCTACCTAAACATTGTTTGTGACCAAGTACACCCCTTCATGGAAATAGTATTCCCGGAAAGAAGTGGCCTTTTTCAACCAGATAATGCGCCCTGCCATGCTGTAAAAATTAGTTCAAGAATGGTTTAAGGAACACAACAATCAGTTGAGGTGTTGACTTGGTCTCCAAATTCTCCAGATCTCAATTCAATTGAGCATCTGTGGGATGTGCTGGAAAAACAAGTCCAATCCATGGAGGCCCCACCTCCCAACTTACAGGACTTAAAGAATCTGCTACTGACAGCTTGGTATCAAATACCACATGCCTCAACAGGTCAGGGATGTTCTGGCAGCAAAAGGCGGACCTACTCAATATTAGGTGGGTGGTCATAATATTATGGCTGACCAGTGTATATTTTATTCTATAATTTGTCTGGTTTAAAAATGACATTAATATCCTGTTTCTGAACTATCGCTGTCTACCACATGAAGGGCAAACTTAGTTAAAATGATCTGGATGCTGCAATTATTATACACCTAACACAATGCCCCTTTGCGCATCCCTCAGAAAATCTTTAGATGAAATGTCTTGGCTGTTTAGGAACTTAAACTGGAAGTTCAGACATAACTTAACGAAGGATAAACCTATTCCCACCCCCCTAAGTCTAAGTCTTTTGTGACTACCCTGTAAAGAAAAGATCTGTATACTTACTTATTTTGAAGCTGCTCCGGTCTGGTCCAGCGGTGGCTTCAGTGTAGAGGAGAGATCACTGACAATGGCTGGAAATGCCTGGGAGATGACATCACCCACAGACTTACTATGGGGCATCCGTTGTCAACTGCCCCTCCTCTACACAGAAGCCGCACTGACAGCTGACCCTGGGACAGGACTGGAGCGGCTTTAGAATAGGTAAGAATACAGATCTTTTCTTTACAGGGTTAGATGGTATAGACTTAAAATGGGGGTGTGGAGTAGGTTTAGCCTCAGCTAGGTTGTGCCTGAACTTACACTTTAAATTTGGAAATGCAACCAGGCTAGGATCAAACTTGAACCCCTTAACCACCTCCCGCCCTCCATATAAGGAAATGACGGGCGCAAGGCGGTTCTCTCGTTTTGTGAGGATGTCATATGACGTCCTCCCATTCTACCTGCGCATGCGCGGTTCTGGGAGCACGCAGCGTGGCGATCGGTGATGCACTGTGTTCCTTGGACACAGCGGATCACCGATCAACGGAAAGAGCCGAAGATGTCGACTTGGTCATGTGATCAGCTGTGTCCAATCACAGCTGATCACATGTAAATAGGGAAATGCCGGTTATCGGCATTTCTCTCCTCACGAGCTGTCACACTGACAGAGGAGAGGAGAGCCAGTAATCGGCTTTATTCAGAGAGGACATGTGCACTGATCATCAGGGCACTGACGATCAGTTTGCCCTGATGATCTGTGTAGCCCCAGCAGTGCCACCTGTCGGTGTCCATCAGTGCCTCATCAATGCCACATATCAGTGCCCATCTGAGCTGCCTTTTAGTGTTAACTATCAGTGCCAGTCAGTGCCACCTATCAATGCCAGTCATTGCTACCTATCAGTGCTGCCAATCAGTGCCAGTCAGTGACACCTATCAGTGAGCATCAATGCCGCCTATCAGTGTCCGTCTGTGCCACCTATTACTGCCATATATGAGTGCTGCCTTTCATTGTCCATCAGTGATGCCTGTCAATACCCATCAGTGTCACGTACCAGTACCACCTATCAGTGTCCATCAGTGCAGCTTATCAGTGTCCATCACTGCAGCATTATTAGCCCACATCAATGAAGGAAAAATCACTTATTTACAAAATTTTATAATAAAAATTAAGAAAAAAAACGTTTGTTTTTTTTTTAAATTTCAGTGGTTTTTGGTTTGTTTAGAAAAAAATAAAAAAATCCCAGAGGTGATTAAATACCACCAAAATAAAGCTCTATCTGTCTCAAAAAAATGATAAAAATTTCATATGAGTACAGTGTTGCATGACCTCACAATTGTCATTCAAAGTGTGACAGCGCTGAAAGCTGAAAATTGGCCTGGGCAGGAAGGGGGTATAAGTGCCCTGTAGGGGAATGATTAAGCTCCCAAAAGATGCAGGAGACCTCGCTGTTCCGAAAGCCAAACTTTGCTGTTTTAGCTTCTCTGCTACAACACACAGCAGGGTGGAACAACTCAGACATTGAGCAGCCAATCCAAAGGACGGTGGTGACTTCCCTCCAACAGGAAGCCCTTATATTCCTTGTGAAGGCAGGATACTTCCAGAAGGGCTTACAATATCCTCTTTTACATAGAATATGGACAGCAACAAAAACTATTACCAAACCTACAGGCCATACACAATTTGCACCAGTCTGGAATAACTTACATCTCCCAGAGCTCTTAAAGTGGTTGTAAACCTCAGAAATGAGATATGAACAAAGCATATCCCTCTATAGTGTGTACTTGTTTTTATTCGGAGCACTGAGTGTCATTTCTGTTGGCTGCTTTGTTCCTCTATCATCAATCCCTTCTAACAAGTTTTCCTGACACCAAAGAGAAGAAATGGTGACAGGGAGTGACTTCCAGCAGATTGACAGCCTCAGCTCTGTTCCTGTGTGCTGTGAGAAGAGGATGTGTCCCTTCCTTCCAATCAGCTTACCGACACCTTTTTTTCTTAACTCTCACCTCACTCACTCGCCGCCCACGAGATTGCCAATCACTTCCAAAATAAGATCGACGCAATCCGTAAGGACATCGCCAATGCTCAACCTACCTCCCCGCTTAGCCTCCCTCCCACTATAACCCCATCAACTCTCCCCTCCTCTGACCTCGCAACTGCCCTACCCCCCCCACACCTAACGTCCCGCACACTATAACCTCCCCAACACTCTGCTCCTTCAGCCTTGTTACCACTGAGGAGGTCACTAAGGTCTTCACAGAAGCCCGCCTTACCACTTGCCCCCTTGGCCCTGTCCCCACACAACTCCTCGGTCACCCTCCTCCTCCATCCTACGCTCCCTCACCCACATCTTCAATCTCTCCCTCTCTACTGGCGCATTCCCCTTCCCCCTAAAGCACGTGCACATCATCCCCCATACTCAAAAAACCCTCCCTGGACCCCACCGACCTGAACAACCTTAGACCCATCTCCCTGCTGCCATTCACTTCCAAGCTCCTTGAGCGCTTAGTCTACAATCGCCTAAGCGCCCACCTCACTGACAACAACCTCCTCGATCCACTACAGTCTGGCTTCCGTCCCCTACACTCCACCCGAAGCATCCCTACTTAAAATCACTAATGACCTGCTAATGGCCACTACTCAGTCCTCCTACTCCTCGAACTCTTGGCGGCCTTCGACACAGTCTACCACCCCCCTCCTTAATAAACTACACTCCCTCAGCATCAGAGACTCCGCTCTCTCTTGGCTCTCCTCCGATCTATCCCAACGCTCCTTCAGCGTTACCTATAACGCTACCACCTCCCCCTCTCTACCCCTCTCTGTTGGGGTCCCCCAAGGCTCTGTCCTCGGGCCCCTTCTCTTCTCCATCTACACCTCCTCCCTTGGCAAACTGATACACTCCCACGGCTTCAACTATCACCTCTACGCCGATTACATGCAAATTTACCTCTCCATCCCTCACCTCACCCCTTCAGTCTCCGCCCGTATCGCCCACCTCCTGAACGACATATCAGACTGGATGTCGCTCTATTTCCTCAAATTGAACCTTTCCAAAACCGAGCTCCTGATTTTTCCCCCAGGCCATGCCCCCCCCCACCCTCTCCATCACGACCAACAACGCCACCATCAGTCCCACCCCACAAGCCAAAGTCCTAGGTGTCACTCTGGACTCAAACCTATCCTTCCAACCCCATGTCCAATCATTGGCAAACTCATGCAGGCTCCACCTCCGCAACATCTCCAAAATACGTTCGTTCCTAACCCCAGACACTACTAAACAACTTGTTCACTCCCTTATTATCTCACGCCTGGACTACTGCAACTCCCTCCTCACCGGCCGACCTCATCGCAGACTATCCCCGCTTCAGTCTATCCTGAACTCAGCGGCCAGACTCATCCACCTTACCAACCGCTCCGCTTCTGCCACCCCCCCTCTGTCATTCCCTCCACTGGCTCCCGATTGCCCAACGCATTAAATTCAAACTACTAACACTGACATACAAAGCCATTCATAACGCTGCCCCAAACTAACTACCTACACTGACCTGTAATCTTCGCTCCTCACAAGACCTCCTGCTTTCTAGCTCCCTGGTCTCCACCTCCCATGCCTGATTGCAGGACTTCTCCAGGACTTCCCCCATCCTCTGGAACTCACTACCCAATCCATCAGACTGTCACCTACCCTCCTCACCTTTAGGCGCACCCTGAAAACCCATCTCTACAGGGAAGCCTACCCCGCCCTCACCTAACAGCCGATCTCCTCCACTCCTCCTACCACTCCTCCTACCACTCCTCCCCCACAGCCACTTCCTCCTGTACCACTATCCCCTCCCTCCTAGATTGTAAGCTCGAAAGAGCAGGGCCCTCGAACCCCTCATGTTTTGTATTGTTACTGTATTGTCTCATGTTCTGTCCCCCACTATAATGTACAGCGTTGAGCAAATCTTTTAGCGCTATATAAATACTGTATAATAATAATAATAACTCTCAGACAAGCTTTATATATTCTGGAGTTTTAACACATGTAGAGAGAATACTGCAGATAAACAGGTACAACGTATGTAGGATTTGTTTAATCTCTGTGTATTACCTGAGGGCAGTCATTTCACTGGTATATGTAAGGGATTACAACCACTTTAAAGAGAAGAATGGTGACAGGGGAGGGACCTCCAGCAGATTGACAGTCTGAGCTCTGTTCCTGTGTGATGAAGGGAGTGTGTCCCTTCCATCCAATCATCTCTCAGAGCCAATCAACTCTCAGAGCTCTCCTCACTGATGTAACTTCAAATCCCCACCACCTGCTTTTCATTGCTGAGAGATCATGTGTAAATTCTGCACTTTGAATGGATGTAGGAGGAAAAAGCTATAGATAAACAGGTACAACTTGTGAAGGAGGATTTGTTTCATATCACCTGGGGTCATTCACTTCACTGGGTATAGGTAAGGGTTTATAACAATTTTAAAGCCGAGAGGTTTTGATAACTGGAATAAAGAAAATCTTTATTTCCTCCATCAGATTTACTAGCGATATACCCTGAAAACCTACCAAGCACAACAGGAGGAATTCTCTCAACGTATATTTTCCAATACCTACAACTAGGCCATGGTCTACAAACACAATTACGTACTGTAACATTAAACACTGTTCCTTCCCTGCTGCTTTTCCGAACAGCTGTCACAACAAAAAAAGGGCCCTATAGCGAACATATACCCTACCCTTCCAAACTCCAGACCTTGGAAACAACCTGAAATGCACGGAGGCCGGTTGGAAAAAGCCCCAAAAATAGCACCCGTCATATCGCTATTACTGACCCAAAAGTCCAATTGTTTATCTTTCACAGAACATACTGTATCCCCTAAAAATTACACCGCTGGGGCTGTAGGATGACATCTAAGTGATTGGTGTGATGTCACTACTGTGATGATCACTGTTCTCCTTGCTGGACAGGAAGAAGAACCTGAAGACCTGCAGTGAAAGGATCTTCCTGCTTCTACTTCATCCATTCTATGGATCTGTACTTCCTCCACCTCTTCTGCAGTTTCCTTCATCATTACCCCATCAGTCCATAGAAGGGCACATCTGACACGAGGAAGCAAAGTCCTGCCTCTACCAAGATGGATTCTTCCACACAGAGACACGGTGCAGGAAGAGGGTGGATCTATTTCTCCTCCACCTCTCCTGCTGCTTTGTTATTACCCCACCAGTCATTAGAAAATTAGCTCTGACATGAGGAAGCAAAGCCCTGCCCTACCAAGATGGCCTCTCCACACACAAACACAGTGGTGGAAAGTGAGGGGGGAATCTCCAACTACCACCTGATAGTCAGGTGGCCATACACCTTTTGGCCATAAAGTACAGCCCACGTAGTAGGGATGCACCGAAATTTCCACGGCTGCACCATATTGGCTGAAAATAGCCATATTGGCATTTTGCCGATAGGATAATTTTAGCCGATATAGATACCATTACAGGGGGCTGTGTGTACTGCAGATGTGACGGGGAGAATGACAGCTGCTTCTCGGAGCTGCAATGAAGAAAAAAAAAAGCCAGTAATTGCATTTAAAAACAATGCTGGTTTTTAAATTTAATTACCAGCTTTTTTTTCCTTCCTATAACTCCAAGAAGGGGCTGTCATTCTCCCCGCCGCTAAAGGAAATAAAGGGACAGGATCACCCACAGATATTACCCAGTGACCCCGCCCTTTAGTTTCCTTTAGCGGTGGGGAGAATGACAGCTCCTTTTGGAGCTATAGTGAAGGGGAAAAAAAAGGTAATTACATTTAAAAACTGGCAGTGACATATAGGAGCAGCCAGTGAGGGAGCTGAGTGTATACACTGCTCCCTCACTGTATACACTGCTCTTCTCCTGACCTCTCCTTGCAAACACTGGCCCTCTCCCACCTACAAAGAGGACCTGTTACTCATATGTTATCACATAGGGGACTATTGGTCCCCTATGTGATAGCAATAAAATAATAAGTTAAAAACACATTAAAGTTAAAAAAAAATAAATAAAAAATACAAAAAAAAAAAAAAACATTTGAGCCTCCCCACCCCCACATACTCAGACATTTCGGTTTTCGGCCACGTGCATTCTGAATTTTTGGTATCAGTTTTGGCACCAGAATTTTCATTTTGGTGCACCACTACCATGTAGCTATGACATTACGACAGTCCATAATCCACGCTCACCTTGTTTGCACAGACAGCAAAGACAACATTCTCAATGTTCCCCTGAGGGCCCAGCTCTTGCTTCATCTCTGCTAGCCAGGCATCCAGGCTATCGAAGGACTCTTTCAGGCCCACGTCATACACCAGAATCACCCCCTGTGTGTCCTTATAGAATTCATTCCGTACCTGGAGAGAGTTCCCAGAGAGAGAAGAATGAGAATACCTAAAACCTCCTCTAAAAGACAATCAGCTGCAGAATACATACGTTTGTTAATAAAAGAAAAGTCCATCCATTGAATTATTGAACATCTCCATGACTGTAGCCCAGCAACAATATTGTTGATATTGCTGAACCAATCCATGGTTTATTAAAGTTTTATTTCACAAAAGGCGATGTAAATAGCGCGATGAGTAACAAAGTCGCCATGCATACAAAGGGGTCTATTTATAAAATATTTGTCAAGCACATATCTTAAGCATTTGCACAGAAGCAATGAATTATCACTGTATTATCTGTACTGTGATTATCTTCATTGATCAGCTCCCTCTTGTGTTCATAATGCGTTTTCTTTTTTTAATTCACGTAACTCATGCCACTAGATGGAGATGATGATCATAGGAGATAATCATAATACAAACAATTCGGTGATAATTCATCATGTCTGTATGGATGCTGAAGACATACACAAGGAATTTTTTTGTTCACCCCTAAAGCCTCATTCCAATGGGAATACTTAAAAGGATATTTCCACATATAAAAAAAAAAAAAAAAAAAAAACACACAACAATAATAATAAAACTTTAGATTACTTTTTATCAGCTCCCCGCTCCTCCTATCCTCACCTTATCTGCATTTCCTTTAAGCGTACATCTATGTAGGGGCCGCGCACGCCCATACAGGGATGCTCAGGTGTTTCCATGCATCTGTGTGCAGCCAGTCCAGTTCATATCTATTAGGAGCAGTGTCTGTGTATGACATCCATGTGGGTGCGTCTACACAAACTCACTCTCTGCATTCGGGAAAATGCACCCATGTGACTTTCAAATTTGGGCCGGCAGCTGTGTACGTGTAGCCACTGTTCCCAATGGACATGAAAGGCATGACCCGTGCACGGAAGCACAAAACACGGCCCTCGAATGGATGTACGGTTAACCATTTGACGCCTGGCCTATGGCCGAATGGCGGCCGTAAAAATGTATTCGCTTTCCGGAGGCCGCCATATGGCGTCCTCCCGCACATGCGCAGTTGGCGCGCTTGCAGAACCGTGCAGTGTCGATCAGTCACCGTCGTGTACCTCGGACACGGCCGATGACAGATCTGAGTACCGGCCCCCGTTGCCAGTACCATGTGACCTGCTGTGACCAATCACAGCAGGTCACATGACAGTTGTATACAATGGATGGCTTCATTCATGCCATCCATTGTATACTACTGTCTAGCTGTGAATGGTCACAGATAATCACATGCACATGTCATGTGATTAGCTGTGGCCAAATCACAGCTAAGCACAAAAAACAAAAAAAAAACAAAAAAAAAAAAAAAAACCCTGAATGAATCGATGTCATTCAGGTAAATGCTTGCTTATAGCAAAGTAATTCTTTGCTATAAGCAAATTGTGTAAAAAAAAAAAAAAAATAATTACTGATCACTTCCCAAAGTAGTACAATGTTACTATGGTAACATTGTACTACTTTGGACATAGTGTAATATGAAAAATAAAATCTTAAAAAAAAAAAAGAAAAAAATGTATTAAAAAATTTAAAAAAAAAAAAAATATATATATATTTTTTTTTCACACTGTCACCAGTCAGTGTCCCTGATCACCGCCATGCCAGTTATATGATGACGCTGTACTGCACTGGTGACAGCATGTTATGTAAAAAAAAAAAATAGTGAAAATAATTTTTTTTTTTTTTTTAATTTTCCGAAAAATTATGACAAAAAAAATACAACTTCAAAAAAACTCGCCATGCCTCTTATGAAGTACGTCGGACTGTTACTACTTTGCAAAAAGTGGTCATTTGGGGGATATCTGTACTGTTCTGACATTCTTGGACCTCAAGAAATTAGATTGGCTGTCAGTACTTCAGGATTGATCAATATTCAGATCTATACCATAGTTTTTGAACTCTATAACTTTCCTACAAACTAAAAAATACATCCTAATTTGGGTTATTTTCACCAAAGACATATAGCAGAATACATCTCGGCCTAAATTTATGAAGAACAATTATTTATTTGCAAACTTTTGTAACAGAAACAAAGAAAAACGTGTTTTTTTTTTTTTAAAATTTTCGGTCTTTTTTGTTAATTTAGCAAAAAATAAAAACCCCAGAGGTGATTAAATACCACCAAAAGAAAGCTCTAGTTGTGTGAAGAAAACGATAAAATTTTAGTTTTGGGTATAATGCTGTATGACCGCGCAATTGTCATTCAAAGTGTGAGAGAGCGCTGAAACCTGAAAAATGGCCTGGGCAGGAAGGGGGAAAATTGCACGGTATTGAATTGGTTAAGTATGCCTGTGTGAACTCCTAACCCTCTCCAGCTGTTTCTATCCTGCCCTGGCCACAGGCAATGCAAGAAACCTCAGCTAATGTCCAATAGATCGCATACAGCAAACTACATCAGTGCTGGGGATTGGAAGTGTGTTAGCCACAGAAAACTCCACCCCTGCATGCCGACTTTCTTACCCATCCCTCTATTTACATAATCTTTTGTGAGTATATCTTACTTTTACTATTTTTATTAATACATTTATATGTCACTTCCCACAGTATGAATTGTTTTTGCGCAAACTTTTTTCTTCATCGGGCTCAGCTGCATTATTTATTTTTCAGATGTAGTTGATCTCTATTTATTTAGTGGGCTGCCTCGATCCGGCTCAACATTATCATTTTATATTTTTCATATATATATTTATTGATTATTTATTTCAGGTACTTATATAGCGCCATCAATTTACGCAGCGCTTTGCACATATATATTGTACATTCACATCAGTCCCTAACCCTCAAGGGGTGTACAATCTAAGGTCCCTAACTCACATTCATACATACACATACTAGGGACAATTTTAGACAGGATCCAATTAACCTACCAGCATGTCTTTGGCGTGTGGGAGGAAACCGCAGTACCCGGAGGAAACCCACGCAGGCACAGGGAGAACATGCAAACTCCAGGCAGGTGGTGCCGTGGCTGGGATTCGAACCAACGACCCTAGTGCTGCCAGGCAAAAGTGCTAACCATTTAGCCACTGTGCTGCCCAATATATATATACACACCCACACATATATATATGAAAAATCTAAAATGATAATCATGAGCCGGATCGAGGCAGCCCACTAAATAAATAGAGATCAACTGTATCTGAAAAATGAATAATAAAGTTTTAGAACATGTGTATATATATATATATATATATATATATATATATATATATATATATATATATACACATACATATATATATATATATATATAAATGTTCTAAAATACATAAATAATACAAATATGTCTGAATATATCATCACATTTAATGAGACATATAGATATAAATTTCAAAGTATAGAATGGAAAAAAAAAAAGGAAAAGAGATTAAACATGAGTTTTAAATATTCAAAGGTATATCTCATCTCTAATTATCTTTATTGTCCAGTTAACAAAGTTCCACAAATAGATTGTTAATATTTAACAATGGAAGTGATCCTTGGCATTGCTACAGCTTCCAACCTCATTCATAGCCTGCAGCATTCTATCTGAACAGATGTGACATTTATCCAGTTGTAATTCACCATAGAAATCAAAGGAAGGATATTGTTGGTTTTTGAAGCAGACCTACAGCCTTCCATGTAGTCTTGCACAGCTGTACCGACTCCTCTCCTGGACTAAAATTACTCACTCTGATTTCACTGCACACTGTGAGCTTCTCACAATGTGCATCAGAAGTTGCAGCAAGCCAGATACAGCCCTCCTCATTTTCTGGCTTCTGCCCACCTTTATCTGGCTCTTTCCTCCACAGCATGACTTTCCCTATGTCCACCCCTTTCATTCTTTCGACTTCAGTTAATTCGATCATGAGGGCTCAGCAGCACATGTAGACATTACCTGCATGCAAATATAGCCTGTCTAGGAATGTTCAGTCCTCAAGACTGATTTATATCCATCAAAGTTAAGTACAGCGTCCTGCTGCCTCCTCCCACCAGCGATGATCTGCCTGCATTGCATTGACAAGTCATTGGGACTAAATGGAGGAATATAATGAATGAGGTTTTATGTAACCATTTCATTAGCATGGTGATGGTGTGGGGGAGCATGATTGTTCTGGGTCTGCAATAAAAAAAAAAAAAAAAAAAAAAAAAAATACGGTACTTGCACGGTCATACAACATTGTACCCAAACTAAAATTTTATCATTTTCTTCACACAACTAGAGCTTTCTTTTGGTGGTATTTAATTTTTTTTGCTAAATTATCAAAAAAAAAAGACTGAAAAGTTTGGAAAAAAACCACGTTTTTCTTTGTTTCTGTTATAAAAGTTTGCAGATAAATAATTGTTCTTCATAAATTTACTCCAAGATGTATTCTGCTACATGTCTTTGGTGAAAATAACCCAAATCAGTATTTATTATTTAGTCTGTAGGAAAATTATAGAGTTCACAAACTATGGTATAGATCTGAATATTGATCAATCCTGAAGTACTGACAGCCAATCTAATTTCTTGAGGTCCAAGAATGTCAGAATAGTACAGATATCCCCCAAATGTCAGGACAGTACAGATATCCCCCAAATGTCAGAACAGTACAGATATCCCCCAAATAAACCCTTTTTACAGAGTAGACAGTCAGATGTACTTCATAAGAGGCATGGCGAGTTTTTTTGAATTTGTATTTTTTTTGTCATAATTTTTCAGAAAATGAAAAAATGCAAAAACATATTTTCACTATTTTTTTTTTTTTTTACATACTGTCACCAGTGCAGTACAGCGTCATCATATAACTGGCATGGCAGTGATCAGGGACACTGACTGGTGACAGTATGAAAAAAAAAAAATATATATTTTTTTTTCTTTTTTTTATTATTTTTATTTTAATTTTTTATTACTTTTTTTTCTTTTTTTAAGATTTTGTTTTTCATATTTCACTATGTCCAAAGTAGTACAATGTTACCATAGTAACATTGTACTACTT